ATATTTTACTATTGGTCTGGTATGAAAAGAGAAATGTTTGTATGTATAAATAGATGTAACATCTGTCAACAAGTTAAAACGGAAAGAAATAAGTCTTTTGGATTGATGTAGTTACTACCCGTCCCTCAGCGGAAATGAAAAAAAATATTAATATAGATTATGTGTGCAAGTTTCCTCGTTCACGAGATGATTGTGATGAAATTGAGGTGATAATTGATTGACTTACTAAATCAGCGCAGTATTCTTCAATGGAAGAGCAGTAACCTTTCCAAAATTGCAACAATTATTTATCTGTCTTATGGAAAAGAGATTTGGGCTTACGGATCTGTTGAACTTCTTGGGTATGTTGGTCCTTTCAATTTATTCCCTAGAGTAACGCCATAAGGCCGTGGAAAGGTGCGGTTCGGGTCGAAATGGAAGACAAGTTAAATCCTAAGTACATCGGGCCGTCTTTGACTATTGAGGGAATCAGTGAAATACTTTCAAGTTTGAGTACCCTTGGGATTGGATAAGGTGTATAGTGTAGTTCATGTTTTGATGATTCGTTACAAAGTAGCAGATTCGTCGCATATGATTCTGGTTCAGCCTTGGAGATTAATCCGGATTTGGCTTATAATGAGGAACCCATGATTATTTTGGAATAGAAATAGGAAGTCCTGAGAAATAAAACAGTGTACTTGGTAAAAGTTTTATGGAGGAATCATTCAGCAGAAGAAACTTCTTGGGAGACAAAAGATCGAATGAGAGGGATGTGTTCCAGGTTGTTTTATGGATATCGATGGATTGTAAAGATTGTGTAAATTTCGAGGACGAAATTTTTTAAGGTGGGTAGATTGTGACAGTCTGTCCCCAATTTTAAGAATTTTTAAAGTTTTAATAAAGGATTTTACAAAAATGCCGGTTGAGGTATGCGCATTATTCAAGGTTAATCGTTGTGTCGTGCCATCTAAGAATTGTTTTCTTGACATATCCTCGTAGTACTCGTCGCTACGAACGTGTGGGCGTTGACGGTTCGTTATTTGGAGTTATAACGAAAAAGATTTTAAAGTTTGAAGTTTGAGCATTTTATAAATTTTATTATTAAAATTTAGATGGCCCAGATTTAATGAAGAATTAAATGAATGGCTCGGATGTAAAGGAAAACAAAAATAAATAAATAAAAAGTGAAGGAAGGTTTTGTGTGTGTGTGTGTGTGTACATGTGAGGAAGGAGAAGAAGAGGAGATTGGGCAGAAACTGCCCAACCAGAAGGAAGAAGAAGATAGCTCTGGGAGAGAAAGGAGAGAAGCTGGACGAATAGGGAGAAGAGAGAGAAGTTTATGGCCAATCAGAGAAGGGGAAAGGAGGAAAGGAGAGAGGTCGAGAAGCGGAGGAAGAATAATAGAAATGGGTTTTCAACCTATGACCCGCGCGACCCGGTGGGTTTTCCACCCCATTTTAGTCGAAATTTCTTCACTTTTCCAGGGAGTTACTTCAAACCAACACTTGGAAATCCCTATATGATCTTCCCTCTTCCTATTACACCCCAAAAATCAATGAATTTCGTGGTGATTTCGCGAAGAACACCCACACGGGTGCCGCGACTTTCTTGTTCAAATTCTTCAAATCTTGAAATGTTTCCTTTCAATTACTAACACCATTAGCATTCCTTTAAGACCTGGAACAAAGCCCAAGCTTTGATTTGGACGGTGGAGTTGATTTGAAGGTCGAATTGGAACTCACCCAATTCTAGGGTCCGCACGGAATTTGATGAATTCGAAGTGTTTCCAGGCCAAATTAGCCTTGGCCACATGTATGAACGTTTCTCTACTCATTGAGATCTTCAATTCTGTATTTTTTGATAATTTTTTGAAATAGTTGGATTTTCCGGCGAGCCGGGGCGGCCGACCGCCACCCGCGGCGGCCCATGCGGCGGCGCGTGGCCAATGGCCCGTCAATGTCATTCTTGACATGTGTTTACGGTTTTAGGTTCAGTTTTGATAATTGATGGACGTAAATTGAGTAATTGAACCTAAATTCGTTTAGATTCGTGGTTAGGTAAAAATGTGAATTGACGATCCGACCGTTGGATCGTCACCAAACTTTGATATGTTGTAATACGTAATATTTTAGGATTATAGGAACTTACGGGTCCGGAATCCGATTTACGGATCTTTCGGAATTGGAGTTGTAAGTTCATAAAATAAAATGTTAACCGTCACTTGCTTTTCGAAATTGACGGAGATTCGACCGTTGGATAGTAATGAAATTGTAGGATGATGTCCTAGAGGTATATTGTGGACCTCTGGAAGTTATGGATTTGAAATCTGAGTTGCAGATCTTCTGGACGGAACTACGTAGTGACGTGTCTTATATAAGTTATATATTCCATCGATATGAATTCTAAGGTTGGATTTGATTATTGTTCTAGGCGCTGATCGTCTTGACGCCTTGATGTGTGGTGCTACGGAGTTGTTGGGCGAACTCCAGGTGAGTGGGCAGTTTTTGTTTTTCGTATTACCTATATACTATTAATTGTCCCAGAAATTGAATTTATATGAAAGTATGTTTTCAATTGCCATGATGCATATTAAAAATTATATGAATTGATATTGATGCATATATATATATATGTGTGTGTGTGTGTGAATTGGTGATGTGGACGCACATGTGAGTATCAGGTGAGTTTATAGGGTTTATATGAATGAATGATGATGTGAATTATGTTGAGAGCTCATAACCTGCACCCATAGTGTTAGTGCTTATGTTATTCACTCTGCATCACACGCTCACCTTGGATCCAAGTAGATGCTAGTCGTACAGACCACTAGAGGTGGTTCTGACATGCCAGTCGTACATGCCATTAGAGGGGTTCCGACTGGTAGGTGAGCCTAGATTATGTGCACATATGATTAATGAGAGAAGCACTAGAGCGTATTATTTCACCATCTTAGTCATATAGACTACTATAGGTAGTTCCGACTTATGTGCAGTGTAGTGCTGTACAGGTCACAGTTGGTGACTCCGGCAGGGCCGTACATGTCATAGTTGGTGACTCCGGCTCGATGAGATATTGAGCTATAGAATCAGCCGTACAAGACCACTGTAGGGTCTCAGGTTGATTTATTATTTCGCCTGATTTATATTGATGCATTCATATTATATTTTGGCATATGACATGGCATGACATATTCTTTCTAAAAAGCGTTGAAGGATTGTGATTTAAGCTTTTGATGACATATATATGATTATTTACTACTTTTTGGGGAAAGTATACAGGTTTTACAGCAAGGGTTTAGAAATGTTTTAAATGAAATGTTTTCGAAAAACTTTGTTTTACTGACCACTCAATTTTGTTTTGCGCCCCTCCAGGTTCTAGTTAGCAGAGCTTTGGTGGCCATGAGGAATCTAGCGGTGTTCTGACAGAATTCACAAAAGTATGACTCACCCTCGGGTGTTTCATCTTAGTAATTGTATTTTATTTTTTTAAAGCTTCCGAACTATGTAAATGGTTACGTTACACTCACGTGACGGTCAGCACGCCCTCCTTCGGGACGGGGTGTGTCAATTCTCGTGCCAAATTTATAGAACATGATGCAAAATATGAGATGATAGAAAATTCGAAGCCCACTTTTAAGAGAATTTACCTATACCATTACTCTTGGATTTGTAATTCAAGGAGTAGGATTATTTCACCTCTTTTTTTTCCTCTTCTTCCTTTCACTTCTAATTGAACGGTCACGATTAAGTCACGTCCACATCTTATATTAATTTTTTATAGCAAAAGAAAGATAAAATAAAAAAATGTGAGAAGAGATGATGGAAGGAGATAAAAAAAGAATGAGAGAGAATTCTAGTTCATAATTCAATATGTAGAAGAAGGACCCGTAACTTTTGACAGATTTTATGACATGGGGCAGATTCCAAAATGTAAAATATTCCAAAAGCTAAACTTCCCAGAAAAGTTTCAAAAAAAAAAAAAACTTCCCAGAAAAGGAAAACGAACTTCCAAGAGGGGTTTGATCAAAAGGACAAAATATATAATTAAGCAGAAGTTCAACATCTTCTTCCATTAAGCAGATAAGCAAGAACTGAAAGCCGAACACTTTGATCAAACCCAAGTCAGTTTCCGTACTCTTGTTTCCGTACTCTTTCTCCTGTGTTTCTAATCCTACACAAACCCACCCACCCAGATTCCGATTCTTCTTCATCAAAGATAGATGGCTGCCAATGGAATCCACTTCTATAGAGTAGGTAACGTTGTGTTGCCAGTGGGATTCCGATTCCGCCCCACAGGAGAAGAGCTGATCTGCTATTACTTGCAGATAAATCTCAAGGGAATGGATAACGTTTTCAGCGACGTCATCCCTGAAATCAATATCTGCGACCACGAGCCAAGGGACTTGCCTGGTAATTATTTTCAAAACCCAGGTCTTATATTTTCATTATTTTTCTTAGTTCAGTGTGTCTGATAATCTGAATTTTCCATTGGGTGTTTGTGTTTAATCCAAATGTAAATTAAATACCAAACCCAGTTCTTAATTTTATTTATTTATTTTTAAATTTTGGTGAAAATTTTAGTAAAATCTTTGAATTTGCAGTTCAATGAGTCTGACACTCCGTTTATGCAATTGGGTTTAGTCCAAATGTAATTTATTATCAAACCCAGTTCTTAAAAAATTCAATCTTTTTATTTATTTTTTTATGAGAATTTTACTAAAACTTTTCAATTTGCAGTTCAATGAGTTTGAATCTCTGTTTACTGTTTAGGAAATTGGGTTTAATCCTAATGCAACATATTACCAATCCCAGTTCTTAATTAAAAGTTTTCTTTTTTGGGTGACAATTTTACGAAGGCCAGTGATTTCTGCACTCTTCAGTGAGTTGGAAAAATTATAAAATGTTCATTTTTGAGGTGTAAACAACTGAAAATGCAGTGCGAAAAACGCTACCCCTTTCAGTGAATGAGTCTGATAATCTTTATATGCAATTGGGTTTGAACCAAATGTTGTGTTTATGCAGGGCTTTCACTCATAAAGTCGGATGATCAAGAATGGTACTTCTTCAGCACTTACAAAAAAAACAGCAAAAACCAGACCGAAAGGATGACGAAGGAAGGCTTCTGGAAGGTCACTGGTGAGCGAAAACAGGTCAAGACTGAAGACAAAAGAAGTGTCATCGGTGAAAAAAGGATTCTAACTTTTTACGGAGGTCATAGTCGTGATTCCCAAAAGACCGACTGGGTTATGCATGAGTATTACATCCCCAAAACCAATCCTAATGATAATCAGGTCACCATTCTTGTTCTTTTTTTGGGGTTATTGTTTCCGAATAATGTTATCGATATGATGTATAATTTGCAGCATTGTTTAACAATTTTTATGAGGTAAGTTGTAAACTGGAGGCTTGAGGGGTTTTCAACCGAAGCCTATTTGGTTTGGTTCGAAGGGGTTTTGGTTTTGAAGTCATTGAATGGATCAAAATTGAAACCCCTTCGAGCCAAATTGGTATTTAATGTAAATTTGCAAACTTTAATGACTTTTGGTTTTGAACATTGTTTAATTTTGTGTTGCTGCCGCTGCATTACATGATTGGTTTTTGCAACTTAATTGTGCAGAGGGATTTAGTTGTCTGTTGCGTAAAGAAGAAATCAGGTGAGAATGGGAATGCTGCAAACTGTCATGAACGTGAATCTAGTACTTACAACAACAATGCATCTGATTTTGAAAACCAACAGCTACTAGCAACTCGTATGGATATTGAAGAGGTGAGAATGCTGATTAACTTTTTCGTATATATAGACGGTGCAAAAGAAACTGATCTAAAACCTTGCTTATTTATGGTTCACAATGCAGGAACATACTCAGCAACAACAAATGAATGGAATGCAATCTGCATTTTCGGATGAAAATTTAGAAGAGTTGGTAAATTCATTTCTTGTTGACTGGGATCAGGATGCACAGGTAACAAAAAAAAAAAACACAGTCCCCATAGAATAGAAGCTTAAAATCTATATTTTTTTGGTGTGTTGGTAGTTTTCACTGGCAAACGCTAAAACTTTGCTTAACTTTTTGGTACTGGAGGCTTTGGAAACACATTCATGTTTTCAGACTATTTTTTTTTTTATTTTCAGGAAATGAGTTTACAAATGCTTAGTGAGCCACCCGTTGATTCACGCCACCCCAGAAGACAGGAAGGTGTTAAGCTTTGCCAGAAACAGGCTGCTTCCTCTGTCAATGTAGTACCTAATCAATTAGTCACTGATGAACATTCTGGTACACTTCATCAATTAGTTAATGATGAGCATTCTGGTACACATCAAAGAACTAGCAGGCCGCAACGTGAATCAAGACACGTTAATGACTTAAACGTAAAGAATGCTTCCTCTGTGGATGCAGATGCAGAATTACCTCAGATTAACTGTATTCAATTAGCCCCTGAGGAATACTATAACAATGAAAGAACACGCAGAAAAACATATCCAACAAGTGCCCTCAAAGCACTAAGCAAACAGAAAGAATTAAAACAGCAGCAAAGCAAGGTGAGCGAAAGAACCCAAAACTGCAGCACAGGGAACGTGAATAATGATTCTTTGTAGAGGCTATTTCCACAACTTAATTTGGTTTATTTTTGCAGGCGAAAGAAGTTGCAGAGCATCGAGCTGCGGTTGATTTTCCCCCGAAGAAGACCTCTATAACAGAGTCTAACAAAGAAGCAGAGGTGGCTCAAGGCAATAATGCAGAAAAGGGTATGAAGCAGACTCAGCAACAACAAAGTATGGACTTTTTTGAGAGGGAAAAGTGTCGTATGCTTGGCCTTAGTAATGATTACTATAACAATGAAAGAACACGCAGAAAAACATATCCAACAAGTGCCCTCGAAACACTAAGCAAACAGAAAGAATTAAAACAGCAGCAAAGCAAGGTGAGTGAGAGAACCCAAAACTGCAGCACGGGGAACATGAATAATGATTCTTTGTAGAGGCTATTTCCACAACTTAATTTGGTTTATTTATGCAGGTGAAAGAAGCTGCAGAGCGTCGAGCTGCTGTTGATTTTCCCCCGAAGAAGACCTCTATAACAGAGTCTAACAAAGAAGCAGAGGTGGCTCAAGGCAATAATGCCAAAAAAGGTATGAAGCAGACGCAGAATGCAACAACCGCCGGCAATTGGAAGGGCTGTTCTTTCATTTCATGGGAGACATTGTCAAAGAAGATATCTCAATTGATTAAATAAATATTGTAAATTGGTAATTAGTTATTTACTTGTTATGTATTTGACTTCCTTGTTTGTAGGCTTTAGTTTAGGATCAGGAATGTATCTGATCTCCTATATATTTTGTAATCCTTGTTTCGATCAATACAAGTGAAAGAATTCTACCACACTACGTTTCTTTAGATGGTACCAGAGTGATCGATCTGGGAAGATCACAACACAAAAAATACAAACCCTAGCAACCATAGCCATAGGCGACAAACCAGACAAGACAAGTCAACCTCTTAAGGCATGACTTTGTATCAGAAGTGGGAAAACCCTAACACCCATTTTACCTCCACCACTCGGATCAGCCTGGCGCCATACTTGTGCCGCAGCTGCTTGTGGAAGACAACTACGGTACATGGGTGCAATCCATGACCATGGCCTTGATGGTCAAAAACAAATTAGGGCTTGTTGATGGACCGATCAAGAAGCCAACTGATGAACAGGTTGAAGAATTACAGCAATGGAATCAGTGCAATAATCTGGTGAAAACATGGTTGCTCGGTTCCATGTCAAAAGAAATCTCAGGATGTGTCATACATTGCAAGGACGACGACAGATGTGGCTCGACCTGCAAGAGAGGTTTTCTCATGTGAACACAGTCCAACTGTTCCACATAGAAAACGAAATCCATAATTGTGTGCAAAGCAACATGACAGTAAGCTCTTATTTCACTAAGCTTAAGAGCCTTTGGGACAGACGTGATGCCTTGTGTTCGATCCCGGCATGCCATTGTGAGACATGGAAAGAGATAATATCGTACGTCGAGACTCAGAAAACAATGAAGTTTCTTATGGGTTTAAATGACTCATATGCTACGGTTCGTGGTAACACTCTTTTGCTGGAACCATTGCCAATTGTTAACAAGGCTTATGCACTTGTTCTTTGCCATGAGAAACAAGTTGAAGTTTCAAATGGAAAGAGCAGCATCGCGCAACCAGAAGCTACCGTGTTTGCTGTAAGAGGTGCTGGTTGAGAACCTAAAGCTGAAGATAGTGGTCAACGATGTGGAAAATGCAACAAGACGAACCATAGTACCAAAGAATTGTCGTGCTCATCTCAAGTGCACCTTCTGTGGATGGAAGGGTCACACATTCGAATTTTGCCGCAAACGGAAGGTAGCAGCTGAAACTGAACAAAGTCGTCCTTCTAAGGGCAACCAAGTCACGGCACATGACAAGAAGGATGCAATGCCTAACTTCCTTTTTTCTCAAGAGGACTGCAAGCAAATTCTTCAACTCTTAAACAAGAGCAAATCCTCCTTCGCCAACCAAGTGGGTAATTCTTTGAATCATGAAGAACTTTCAGGTAAAGCATTTTCTTTAGTACGTAATGGAAAGCAAACCATTTGGATTTTGGATAGTGGTGCCACAGACCACATCGTGTGTAGTCCTGAATTTCTCACATCCTCAAAACGTGTTGAAAACCATAATGTTGAATGACCAAATGGTTCTCTTGCTACCATGACTCATGTCAGCCAAGTGGTTCTCTCCCAACCTTGTCCTTTATAATGTTCTATGAGTGCCATTGTTTAGGTTAAACTTAATATCCATTAGCAAATTAGCCTATGATTCCCTATACATCACATTTTTTCTAAAACAATTTTGTGTCATACAGGACCTATGCTTGGGGAAGATGATTGGGATGGGAATTGAACGGGAGGGACTTTACTATCTTGACCCACCAAGGAAGGGAACCTATAATACCGTAACCATCATGAGTTCTATCTTTTGGCACCAACGCCTTGGGCACCCATCACATAAAGTGTCCATGTTATTTCCCTTTTTGCACAATAAACCTTGTGATTCAAATAAATGTTTCATTTGCCCATTGGCTAAACAAACAAGATCATCTTTTCCATTGAGTTCTATATCTACTAAGTCATGTTTTGAATTAATACATGTTGACATTTGGGGTGGTTATCAAGTTGCTTCCATTTTAGGTGCCAAATATTTTCTCACCATTGTAGATGATCACACTAGGTGCACATGGGTTTATTTGATGAAACACAAATCTGACACACAAGATCTCCTTGTTCAATTTATTCACATGATCGAAAATCAATTCAACACTAAAGTCAAAGTGGTTCGAAGTGACAATGGTCCCGAGTTCAAACTTGACACATTCTATAAGCTCAAAGATATTCTTCACCAAACTAGTTGCATCAACACACCACAACAAAATGGTGTTGCTGTACGCAAACATATGTACTTGTTAAATATCGCTCAAGCTCAAGCCCTACTTTTCCAAGCCAACCTTCCTAAACGTTTTTGGGGGGACGCCATTCTTACTTCTACCTATCTCATAAATCGTACACCCACACCTCTTCTTCAAGGCTAAACACCATACCAAAGATTATTTCACAAGGAACCTAATTACATGCATCTACGTGTTTTTGGGTGTTTATGTTTTGCATCCACTCATGCACAAAAACCTTCCAAGTTTGATCCTCGTGCACTTCGTTGTCTTTTCCTTGGGTATCCTTATGGTCAAAAGCGTTATCGTTTATTTGACATCACACTTCAAAAGGTTTTTGTGTCAAGGGATGTAACATTTTTTGAAGATCAATTTCCATACCAAACCTCCTATCCTTCCGTTGCTCCCAGTTCTTCGCCCACTACTACCCCTTAACCATTCTCTTTTGATCCGTCCCCTACTCTCCCACATTCACCTTTCACAGAATCCTCCTCACATTCTCCTGATGTCGATGCTTCAATCCCCGCCGCCCCACCACCTTTATCCATTGATACCAACCCTATCGACACCACCTCACCTATATTATCTTCCCCACCGCCATCACCTATGTTTCTTACCCCAACTCACCTTGCTGTTGCTGCCCACCGCCACCGCATCGTGGCACACGCCCCCCAAACCTTGCACTTTTCTGCAGGACTTCCACGTAGAAACCTCTCTCCCATCAAGACCTGTTCCTTCATCTTCCACGAATGTGGTCAAGTCATCAGGTACTTCTAACCCTCTCTCTCAATATTTATCTTACACCCGCCTTTCTCCCACACATAAAACCTTTGTCACTAATGTCACAACCATCCACGAACCTACCACCTTTTTGCAGGGCTGTCCAAAATCCAAAATGGCATGCTGCCATGAAACACGAAATAGATGCTCTCCAGGCTAACCATAATTGGTCCCTTGTTCCGCTTCCACCTCACAAAAGACCGATCAATTGCAAATGGGTGTACTTAAACCTGATGGGACCATCGAGCGCTACAAAGCCCGGTTGGTTGCGAAGGGATATAGCCAAATAGAAGGAGTTGATTATCGAGAAACTTTTGCTCCCGTTGCTAAATTGACCAATGTTCGTGTACTTCTAAGTGTGGATGTCGTGCGTCAGTGGAATTTGCACCAAGTCGACGTCAACAACGCATTTTTACATGGTGACCTTGACGAGAAAGTCTACATGCACTTACCCCCTGGTTTCAGACGAAAGGGGGTGACTCAAGTATGCAAGCTACACAAATCCTTGTATGGTTTCAAGCAAGCCTCAAGACAATGGTTCATTAAGCTTTCTACCGCTCTCAAGACTACAGGGTTTCACCAATCATGGTCTGACTATTCATTGTTCATCTGAAGTCGTCAAGGTAACTTCTTCGCTTTGTTGGTCTACATTGATGATGTAATCTTGGCAGGAAATAATTTACAAGAAATTGAAGAAACAAAGTAGTTTCTCGCACAACAATTCAAATTGAAGGACTTGAGCAACTTACATATTTCATGGGGATAGAAGTTGCACGGTCCAAAAGTGGCATCACTTTATGCCAATGAAAGTATGCATTGGATATATTAGATGATGCTGGGTTTTTAGGTGCCAAACCTTCACGATTTCCCGTAGAGCAAAATATTTCTCTCACACAAGCAGAAGGAAAGCTTCTGGTCGATGCTTCATCATACAGAAGGCTTGTAGGTAGATTAATCTACCTGACTATAGCAAGGCTGGACTTAGCCTATGCCGTGCACATGTTAAGTCAATTTATGGAAAAACCTCGACAACCACACCTCGAGGCAGCACACAAGGTTCTCAAATACATCAAAAAGGCACCAGGACAAGGTATATTTTTGCCATCTACATGATCATTGCAGTTAAGGGCATTTTGTGATGTCGACTAGGCTAGATGCAAAGACACAAGGAGATCAATAACAGGTTACTGCATTCAACTTGGTCAAGCACCGATATCTTGAAAACGAAGAAGCAAACTACCGTCTCTCGTTCTAGTGCAGAGGCTGAGTACCGTTCCATGGCTACCACATGTTGTGAGATTACATGGTTGAAGAACATTTTGAAGGATTTGAAAGTGAGTCATCCACAACCAGTCACGTTGTTTTGTGACAACCAAGCAGCCATATACATCGCTTCGAATCCGGTGTTTCATGAAAGAACAAAGCATATAGAGATTGATTGTCATTTGGTGATAGAGAAGATCCAAGGAGGAATAGTTCGTACGGCCTATATATGAACGACTAATCAACCAACTGACATCTTCACCAAACCGTTGAGTTCAACGCAATTTGAAACATTACTCAGCAGGTTGGGTGTTATTAACATACACTCCAACTTAAGGGGGAGTGTTAAAGAAGATATCTCAATTGATTAAGTAAATATTGTAAATTGGTAATTAGTTATTTACTTGTTATGTATTTTGACTTCCTTGTTTGTAGGCTTTAGTTTAGGATCAGGAATGTATCTGATCTCCTATATATTTTGTAATCCTTGTTTAGATCAATACAAGCGAAAGAATTTGACCACACAATGTTTCTTTAGAGACATCCCCTCCATTAACAAGTCCCCCATCAGCATACCTTTTCAACATGGTTCTAGGCGTAATAATGTTCTGCATTTTTGCTCGGGAAGCAGTTTTATACGGTCAGTGGTGCTAGAGGGGTTCATTCACCGGAAAATGGATAGTTTTTGTTGTCTGTCACACAATGAGTAATGCCATACTTACTGGTTACTTATCGCTGCTCTAAAATGTGGCAGCACCAGCTAGGGCTGGTTCGGTATGGGATACCGAACCGAAACTAGTATCCCGAATCCCAAACTGAAATTTTTCGGGACGGGAATTTGAAGACCAATCCCAAATCAAATTTTCGGGAATCCCAAAATATTTG